AATGGGGGCAAACGCTAAACCAAACCTGAAAAAAATAATATTCATTAAACAGTAAAACAAAAATGATAATGATATGAGTGTTATGTTTTTTAAAAAATAGTAGTGAATATGTAACTCATAAATAATTTTATGGAATATTGCATAAACAGAACTTTTCTTTATCATATTTAATTTAATATATTTTCTAAACATTTGTTTAGCTAAAAGGCTGTATTAAATAAATTTGCCCAAATTAAAAATTCTATACAACATAATCTTGTAATTGCCAATTTTTATATATGTTACGGTAAATGTGCACTCTAGGTGCACAAAAATGTGCACATTTCCCAAACTGATTACAGTGTGTATGTACATTCACCAGTAAATGTGCACACTTACCATTGTGTTTTGGTAAATGTATACTTTTAATATAAATAAAAATCCTTAAGTAAATAGTGAATATTTAATTGTTAATAGTGATATGTGAATAGTTAATAGTTAATAGATAAATAGTTAACAGTTAATAGATAAATAGTTAATAGTTAAATAGTGGATAGTGAATAGCGATAAGTGAATAGTTAAATAGTTAAAAAGTTAATAGTGATAAGTGAATAATTCAATAGTTAAGTAGTTAAACTGATAAATAATAAAAAATTAATAGTTAAGAGATAAATAGTTGATAGTTAATGCGTTAAGTAGTGGATAGTAAATAGTGGTAAGTGAAGAGTTAATAGTAAATAGTGAATAGTAAATAGATAAATAATTAATAGTTAATAGATAAATAGCTAATAGATAAATAATTAATAGTTGATAGATAAATTGTTAATAGTTAATAGAAAAATAGTTAATACTCAATAGTGATAAATGAATAGTTAAATAGTAAATGGTGATAAGTGATAAATAAATAGTTAATAGCAAATAGTAAATAATGATAAGTGAATTGTTAATAGTTGATAGTTAATAGTTAATAGTGATGAGTGAATGATTAATAGTTAATAGTGATAAGTGAATAGTTAATAGTTAATAGATTAATAGTTAATAGATTATTAGTTAATAGATTAATAGTTAATAGTCAATAGTTAATAGTCAATAATTAATAATAAATAAAGTATATTAATATGCATATGACTAAATTAACTAATATAAATATAAATAGATATAAATATATAAATTAGTATTTTATCCACATGTGTGTAACATTCACCAAAACTCAAAATATACACATTTACCATAACATATATATGTAGCCAAAATCAGTAAATTTTTATATTATAAGAATTTTAGCCAATTTACAAAATATGAATTATATAAAACATATGCAGTAACTACTAAGTAATATAAAATATAGTAATATATCAATAATTAACAATTGTGTAGTTTATGCCTTGATAACAATATGAACATGAAGTCTATATTACAAATGAAATCTTACCAATTTTCCAAATGATTCTATTCCACTTTGTTTCTTTCCATCATATAATATATCTTTCCATTGTTCGATAAGCTGTATATGCTGCTTTGGAAAATGCAAAGGATTCCATCCATTCATAAATGTTTTTAGTTTGGGAGCTACAACTAGATGAGCAAGGTCCCAAAGTTGATATTCTTCATACTCCGTTGCATGATTACTCTATTGATACAAGATTTTATTTCAATAATTTATTAACTTAGAGTTGTTTTTACAATGGTTAAATTCACAATTCACTTTAAATACACATAAATGGAAGCAGGTCTTGAAATTTAAAGCCTAATAAAATGGTTATTAATTAACGAAAAATAATTTAATTCTGTATGTTCTATTAAATATATATTTAACATAACTTTTAATACTCAAAGTGAGAAAATAAAAATTGGTTTTATTGTTAAAATAAATAGTCTAATGTACTTTCACAGTTGCTTCTATTAAAAATGATTAAAATGCACATCAATGGAGTAAACTAAAAGTAACAATTTATGAATTAAATTCAACTCCAATTTTATGCATTCATATACAAAAATTAATTTGACCTATTATTATTTATAAAAAATTACTGAATTATATTTTAAATCAATTTCAAGTTAAAAAATATTCATTAATAAAATATTTTACCTGAAGTATTACTAATTGTTCTGCCAGTTCATTAATTCCTATATCTTCTCTCTTAAGATTTTGTACTATTTCAAATACTTTTTCTAATGAACTTATATAAGTTTGTTCTATTGAAACTACATCCTGCAAAGCTTTATGAGCATGTTCCATAGTAACTAATTTATCAGAAGAGTCCATCACAATCTTATCATTCGCAATAATATTCTGCAATTATTATTTCAACATGAAATCTTTATTCGATATGTAATTAAAACTTTAAAATATATAAGGCTTTACAAAGACTTACCTGTTCATACATTTCTACAATAAGATTTAAATTATGCATTAATTCTGGTAGTGAGAAATTATTTCTCACTGCATATTGTTTTTCATCATATAAATTATCATCATTAGTTTTTGTATGTTTTAGAGCATGATATCCAGATAAAACCCTTTTTGTAGGTCCTGTCATATCAATTATTTTTGTAGTTTCAAATTCCCTAAAATCATTCATTTTACATGAAGATGAGCAAATTTAAGCAATATTTAAATTACTTACTTTTTTAAAGAATCTATCTTGGGTTGCTTATTTATCAACAATGATTCCGTTTTCATTTCACTAAAGTTGTTATAAAAATATCTGGTTTTATTTTTCGGTGATTTATCTCCATCCTTTCTTCGCCATTTGTTTAACCTCTCTTTATAACTCGATGACTCTTTCTTACTACCATCTTCAGTAGCTTGTCCTGACTATATCATAATCATATTTTGAAATTATTATACACAAATTTGAAATTACTTATACACAAAAAAAATTGGACAAAACATTCCATTATGCAGGTATTTTAAAAATACTAGGCAATTTATTGTTGAATCAATCCCATATCATAATTAAATAATAAAAGCAACATACTTTTTTATCAGCTACTTTAGGTGCCTTTTCAGGACCGTATGCTCCAATGGCTCCCCTGCCTTTTCTCACATGTGCTTGAACTGGCGCAGAAATACCTTGCAATGTTTTTCCAAGTCCTTTACCGGGTTGATATCCCATCTAACGCAAAAAAAATTGGAAACCAAAAATTAATTATAATATTAAATCGTTTCGTTCTTTATAAATAGTTACCTGTAATAACAACTTAGCACCAATACCTTTAGTATGCTTCTCCCAACTGCCAACTCCTTGTTGAACAAATCCTTTCTGTACACTACGCATTCCAGCTGTCTCATTACTTTTAAAACTTGCCCTCGGTTCCTCATCTGACTCACTCGATGAATTTATAACTTCTGGTTCTTCTTCCTTTTCTAAAATTGATTGAAATGAATGAAAATAAAAGCTGAGTTATACAAATCAAATAATATTCAATTCAACCTTTTTATTTATATTCAACCTTTGTATTTAATTTTGATTTGAAGATTTAAACATAGTTTAAATTAATGTAATAATGTATAAATCTCTTGCATTTTCAAAAACTATTATTTAATAATAATTTTTAATTAATAGCAATTAACATGAGAAATTAAGCAAAATGATATAATTTAACACATATTATTTATGTTTTATCATAATCTTTACCCTCATCTTCGACTTTTTCTTTTTTTCCAGATTGTTGAATGCCACCAGCAATAAAGTTGACTGGTGCACTATAATCTTTTGGTCGTTTCCTCCCAGATTTGGGTTCATCATCTTCACTATCATCCGCTGCCCAAATACCTTACACAATTAGAAAAAAAATTTATCACAAATGTAGTGAAGAAAGTAAAAGTAATAAATTGCTTCATAAATAATGTCAAAGAACTTTAATTAAATAACTTATTGGTAATTAGTACGTTTACACAAATTATGCAAAAACAATATTCTTAAGTTATGATTTAGAAATAATCAGAAACTGCTAAAAAGATTGATTTCAATATTCAAGCACAGATATTATCAACCTAGGATTAAACGATTAAATTAAATTATAAATTTAAAATGAAGCTAACCATATATCTGTTGATTTTTTGTAGGACGTCTTCTGCTTCTAGGATAAAATTCATTTTCTAGATCATAATCTGTTATTTCAAATCGTTCAACTTCATCTTCATCCATTTTTGTAAAACAAAGCTTTGATTATTAAAAAAGCACAAGGTGATATTCGGCAAAAAGATGTTATCTTAATTATATGTCAAATGGAAAACAAAAAAAATCAGATACATATTATCATGGATGAAATATTTCTCATAATTTTTTGGGTTTTCTTTTATATTTTATTATATGCAAACTTCAAAAAATGTCTTCAAACTAAAAAACAAAGATATAAAATAATACAAAGATAGGAACAGGGAAATAAGTTCGCTTCGAGCAAACAGCGATTTATGAGCACATGCTCTCTTTTTTAGTTAAAACATGTGCTATGCTGTCTTTTCTCAGACAGGAACCATTATACTTGTTTATCTATGGATTTTGCACTAAGATAGAAGGTGTCAGTGCTTCTATTCGACAATATGGTGCGCTACCATTTTTTTTGTCGGCGAACGATAATATTGAATTCTCTGAAACAATAACGTTCTAATACAAACTCCCAAAAGAACTATAATTACTTTTTAAAATTAAGATTATTCAATAAAACAGTTTTTCTGCAATTTATTTATTAAAGTATAAAATAATTCAAAATTATGTTTTATAAATAGTATAATTGATATTATGGGATACATAATCAAAAATTTACATACTTTCCAAATTTTATAAATAATTTTAATGTACATCATATATTGGTATTTAGAATAAATATAAATTTAGTAGCAATAAATGATAAATTTAAATTGTAAAAATTACTTTTAATATTTACAATTGAAATGGAATAATGTTTTGTTGTGATAAAACTTCTTAGGAAAATAAAATGTAAGATGAATGGCAGTCAGTTGTGTGAATTATTAACATATGATACAAAATGATTAGTACTATTTAAATATAATTAGATTAAGAATTTCATTATACAAACAAGTAATAATATTTCTTAATGAATAAATATATTTTGAAGAACTCATAACTTTTGAGCATTTATTTCATTTATCTGATCTGAATATTCTAAATATATTCTTTGCCATTTAACATGCTTCCTCAGAATTCGTAGGCAAGATTCTAATAGTACATTTTTGTCAAGTCCCTGGAAATGATAAATAATTTTGGTCAGAAATTCTTTCAACATAAAAATAATTCTAAAAATGACATGAACAAACTATTATAGTCTGTGTTTTATTTTAGAATGATTACAATTGATATCTGTTGCATTGTTGATATAAAATTATTGTAAACATGCATACGATAGTCATATTTAGGGAATGCAATACCGGAATACCGGTGTACCGAATTACCGGTAAACCGCCCGATTTTTCGGCGGTATTTTTACCGGTATTTACACAAAAAATACCGGTATTTTTGGTATTTTTACATAGGCGCTATTCGATACATAATACACTAGAGTTTAAATTTCTCGGAACAAATTTATCTTTGAATTCCATAATCGCATAAACAGCTATATCTTCAAGTGATTCTATAGGATAAACAAATGTCAAATATTATCTCAACTCGTCATTAAACCGAATATTTATTGCTTTACTAAGGGCTTCATATCATGTTACAATAAATAGAATTGGACTGATAGATAATAATGTCTGTTTCATCTTATGTAAAAATGTAACGATTTTTTAAATGACATTTGCGCTAAAATATTTTATATCATACAGATTACATCCGCATAATCTTTATTTTTTTCTAACTTTATACATAATAATTATGATAATTACTAAATATTTTTGCTTCTTATTACAATTATAAAATATTATTTTTCAATTTCATCACATTGGTTTAAATAACAATATTCAACAATTATAGTAACTTATTAATTATCTTGGCAAAGTATTCGATCTTAAATTAGTGTAGAAAATTATTTTTTTAAAATATTGGAGATTATGGTAATTTAACACATCGGATACAGACAATACAGTTTATTATAATAATGTAATATGATCTTTTATGAGTTTTTTGTCTTTCTTACTCATAAGTTTGTTTTTGGTGAAAAGTACTCAATATACTCGATAATGATAATGAATTAATTAAATTGGATATAATTTTGTTAATTATTTAAAAAAATAAACTTATTAGTTTATTTTATTGTTTAGTTGATTAATAGTTGTAGTTGTACATACCTTTTTTTATATTTGTACTAGGAACTTTCAATTTTGCTTACGTTTGTTAAGATAAAAAAAAAATCCTGTAATTTACCAGTATTCCGGTTTTAAAATGAAAAATTACCGAAATGCCGGTATTGAAATTTTCCATCGGTATTGCATTCCCTAGTCATATTTAATAAATATGAAAAATTAAGCCTATAGGGATTAATAGTAAATATGAATCCTCCCATAAAAATATAAATAAAATTAATAGCCTTAGTATTTATAAAAGCAAACAAACTTTCAGGGTATTTACTCACAAATAAAAATTTATATTTACCAATATTTCTCGTTTCGAAGTATTATTTGCATCTTTGGACATCAAAATAGATGAACCCAACAGATCATCTAGTACTCTTCTCAATGCTTGCTCAGGCCCATGAGCTCCTAAATGCTCCATAAACGCTTCTAGCCAATATCGGAAGTCATCAGCTGATTTCAAGGCCTCGCTTGCTATCAACTGTGATTCCAGAAAGCTTTGGGCTGCTGCATGCTGACGAGTATTACCAGCACTAAAAATTAAAGAAAAAGCATACTATCATAATTAATTGAAATTTTATAAATTCTCAGTATTTGTTAACTTCCTAACTTAAATTTCTATACTTAATGTTAGTTCAAAATCGCTATGTTTATATTTTTAAAAGCTGTAGCTTTTCAAGGCGGCCGGCATGTTCGGACGTCTTTTCATTTTATTATATTGGCATGAAAGTTTACAAAACTTCAGAGCATTAAGCTTTATACGGAATGGTTGCTACCCCTGGTAGAGAGGGGGTAGCGGAGTGTTTTAAAGGAACGAGTCGTTCTGTTCTAAAAGTGAAGCCGACTTAACCACATGTAAATAACCTATACGCATAAATATATTTTTCTTCATTAATACTTAATAATACATCAGTTATTGTGATTAGAACTGCAACAAATACAGAATATAAAATTAAATCAGTTTTTTAATACAGTCCACAGCGACAAAGGTTAAATAATAACCTAACAACCTGAGTGATCGAAGAAGAAGAGTTTTAGTAAATTCTTGAAATACGCACAAATAAACATTTTGGTAGGGCAAAGTAGGGCAAGTTATAGTAATCGCAAAAAAATCGAAAATAAAATTTTTTATATATCTTTACGTTTCAAAGGTTTCTGAACATTTTGGCATACCTTAGAAAAAATGGATGTATGTGTGTGTGTGTGTGTGTGTGTATGTACGTGTGTGTATGTATGTGCGGATACAAATTTTCGTCGACGATTTCGGGAACACGGATCAACCGATTTGAATAATTCAAAAAACATTCGATTCGTACTGATAAGGAGACGTGCTGATTAGTTTTTGGCGAAGGCAGGTCTAGCCGTTCCGAAGATACGGGGCAAAAAGTGCCGAAAACGGTAACTCAGGTTTTAAGAGAACGGAGCGTCCGATTTTAATAATTCAAAAAACATTTTACTTATATTGACTAGGTGAAGAACCGATCAAATTTTCATAAAGGCAGGTCTAGCGGTTTCGGAGATCTAATGAAAAAAGTAAAAAAAATGCCATTTGGCGGTCAAAAATGATCATTAGACTTATGCATATCAAATTATCAGATATTTTATAGAGATTTTAACAATAAGTATGAATTTGGTTTACATTCCTATGGGTTCCGTACCAATGTTTACGCGTTAGACGGCGACGTGGCGCTTACGCGCTTTGATATTTTGTCTTTATGCAGTTAAAGCAGTACAATTGCTTTGAAAAAAACTTTAGATCTTCCAAAATATGTCAAAATAAAAAAAAAATTTTTCAAAAAAAAAAAAAATTAAAAATTTTTTTTTCTTTTTTATATATTTTTTTTCTCAAAAAAAGTAATTTTTGGTCCAATTTATAGTTTCTTAAAAATCTTATTTTTTTGAAGTAAATTTTTTTCAAAAATGTTAATTGTTTTTTTTTAAAAAAAATTTTGGTACGGAAAGTTCCAGCAATTTGCCTTAAGGCACGATGCCTTAATTGCCTTAAGACAGAATTCCACTTACAGCTAGTTCTTGTTTTGTTTTAATTATTCAGCCCAATTTACAATCTATTATTATAATTTTAAATACTTCAGAACTGCTGTATTTTTTTGTGGTAAGTGGATTTGTGGCATCATAAAATTTATATAAGAAATGAATTGTTCAATATATCTGCAGCGATTTAAAAATGAAATAGATAAAATAATATATTTTTTGAGCCAAAATGGCATGCCATAATCAATTTTAGAATTTTAAATGCTCTAATCTATATAAGACTATAATATAAGACTATAATATAATATAAGATAACATATTAAGTAGTATCTTATATTATATAAAATATACATCTTTGTAAGCATTATTAAAAATATAATGAAAAATATACCCATATAACATGGACTTGGCAGATATTGCATGTTGTGCAATAGTCAAAGCTTGTCCCCTAGGAGGCGGAGTAGCTTTAGAGACGGACCACATTCCTATCCTCATTACAGGGTCTCGTGGATTACATAACATTATCCTATAAAGCAACAAAAAATAAATTACTTAAAGTTAGTTCTACTTCATACTATTTAATTTTGTTAAACATTAACTTACCATGTTTGTAGATCCTTACAATAAGTATATGATTTGCCATTTGAAAATGTTATGATTGGCATACCAAAATGTGTTAGAGCACAATTCAATAATGTAGCTGAAAAAATAACATACATTTTTTAAACAAGATTCCTAAATATTCACTTCAACTATATGTAAATATAGCAAATAATTTAAAAATCAATAGATCTTAATATTTTCAAATAAGCTTATATTCTTTTATCAATTATTTTTCAGTAAAAACAAAAGAAGTTGATTCAGAAGAATCAATTGTACATCTTTCAACTTCCTTTATTGAGTCTAGAGAGAAACTTTTTTTTTTTCATATGCTATGAAATATAATAAAACTTATTCAAAGACAAAACTATAGAAGTGAAGAATTTATGCAAGTTAATAGAAATACTTTCATAAATAGAATAATAAACATTACATATATGATTCTAAATTATATGATACATTCCATATCGAAATTCAATTTGATGTTTACTATGTTCTTATTATTCCAAATTTGTCATACCATCTGCTAAAAGATGTCCAAATGTTTCACGAAAAATAGCTTTTCTTTCAGATATATTCCAAACCAGAACATGAGAATTTGTTGTTAGTGCAGCTAAATAACTTGTAGGTGTTAAGACTAATCGAATACAAGGTCCTGGTAAAGATATTAATGGCAATGCAGGCTTTCCTGAGGTAGTCTCTAAACAGTGAATTACCATATCTTCACAAGCCACTGATATGAAAGAAGCTGTGCAGGCTGCATACACAATTGACGCACCTTTTATAACAACAATTTTTTTTATTAAAATCTATTTAATATATTGTATCGTACGTACTGACTTTCAACAGTGTCATTTGAATAAGTAATTTGATTAAACATTTTTTGCTAAAATTAATATAGATTTTTATATAAACCATAACTAAGTATACTTTAAGTAAACAATATTAAAAAAACATTGCTATATTTTAGCTCCCTATTGACTTACCAGTATAATACTGCCATAAGAATTTATTATCCGATAACATTGTAGAATTGTATGCTTTAATACTATGCAAATGTCCATGCTGTGTCTTTAGGAAATTGTTTGAAAACTGGAAAACAGATTTCATTTAAATGTAAATTACAAAAATTTAAATTAAATAAAACAATAAGCTTTAAAACTTTTGTATATGTTCTTCATTAAATAATCAATTATTATGTATCACCTGTATTTTATATTTTCCTGCATCCCGAACTACATTTCCAGTAAATGCTGCTAATGGTCCTGCTTGGGATATATTAGATCGAACATTATCTAATTTAGTTATTTTTTCTGGAACTGCAGGTCCAACACTTGGTAAATCTAGAGCCCTTTTTAATTTATTATCGAGAGGCCTAAAAAAGATACATTAATTTACAAGTATTAATCATTACTGAATACAAATTTAATTAGTTGCAAGCAGAATTTTGCCTTGAGAGAAGTTGTATGAATTTCCTGATACGTGTATATGATAAGCTTTGATAATCAATCAATAAAAATTGAGATTGTTTTTGGATTTTTAAAAATGACTAGACTTTTAAATTTTTTAAATCCGTCCAGCCGTTTTTGAGAAAACGTCGGCACAAGGTCAACAATCAGCTCACAACACACATATTTATCAAATTTGGTTTCATTTGATTTAGAATAACGTGAAAAATAAAGAAAACATAATTAGCAAATCAGATGTTTGGCAAAAACAAACTTCTCCTTCGGAGGTTAAAAATTTGTAGACAGGATACTAGTTAATAAATAAGCTTGAAAATATCATAAATCAGGTTTTAAATAAAATATTTGTCTAGCACCTATGGAGATTGAAAAGAAAAAATGTTTATGTATAAAAAAATAGACTTGCTATATTCGGCAAAATACCGGATACCGAATATTCGGCATGCTCCAGAGACCGAATACCGAATATTCGGCAACTATTCGGAAGGTGCGCCTTAAATCGTTCGTAATAATGTAATTACTATCAATAGTTTATTCAAAATTTATGCCTAGACTTGTAACCACTATTCGATTACTCTTTGTTATTTAGAATATTTGGTACAATTTATATTATTCGGCCGAATACCAAATACTTGAATACCATATGTGATTAAGAAATAAATGTTAACATCATGAAAAAAGCGATTCTTTACATATTGTATGAATGTGTTTTCAATTATTTCTTTCATGAATATTTAATTTTTTTTTTATTACCACAATATTATTTTTCATATATTGGGAAGGCTAATTATAATGAAATAAAAATAAACTGATCAAAAATATTGTTTGTATATTTTGCAATAAAGGGCCGATAATACAGCTCTTCATTTGAAAATGCTTAGATTGAATTTAATGAATGACTTTATTGTATAATAAATAATATAGATACAAATAATGTGTGAAACCATTGAATGAATCATATTAGATATTATAAACATGTGACAATAAAGTATCTTGTGATTCAGTAAAAAGCTTTTCACGTGTTGAATTCTAATCTCAAAAGTCGATCAAGTTTAAATTATTCTATATACAATAACAGAATCTTCATATGTTCATATTATATTATGTAAACTAAATACTTCCAAATACAGATCCATCGCGAGCTCTTTATCGCATAAAATATAATACACCAACAATGCTATCGCTGAGCGGCAGCGGCGCCTTCGATTTTACTATTCGGTATTCGACCAAACATTAAAAAAGATGCCGCATATGCCGAATACCGAATAGTAACCGAATATTCGGTGCAAGCCTACTTTATTGTAGATCTATGTGTGTAACCATTGAATGATATTTATTAATATGAAATGAATTAAAATTGTTAATATGAATTAAATAGCATAAACATGTAACATTCTTTGAAGATTGAGAAAAAAGTTCTTCATGTTGTCATTTATAATCTCAAAGGTCGATAAAGTTTAAATATTATATATATATATATATATATATACAGGTCCGGATTTAGAAATTTGGCGCCCCGGGGCACTGACAAAAATGCCGCCCCATCCCTGAAATTTTACGAGCTTTCGAACTTTTTTTTAAAGCAATCGCGGTGCTTCAGCTGCGAGGGACAAAATATAGAAGCGCGTAAGCGCCGCGTCGCAGTCTAACGGATAAACAATGTTACAGAACTTATATAAATATAAGCAACATTTATACTTATTATTATAATATCTTTAAAATATCTGATAATTTAATGTGCCTATGTCTTATGATCACTTTTGTCCGCCAAATGTTTCTTTCTTTATTGGATCATCGAAACCGCTAAACCTGCCCTCCACAAATTTAAGCAGTTATTCTGTAAATTTTTTTGACTGTTATTGGACGTTTTTTTCTCAAAAACTAAATTATCATTTTTGGCATTTTGGCCCGTATCTTCAAAACAGTTGGACCTGCCTTGACCAATAACTAATCAGCACGTCTCCTTATCCATAGGAATTGAATCATAAATCGGTTGATCCGTGTTCTCAAAATCGACTTGAATAATTAAAAAATATTAGATTTGTATTGATGGGGAGACGTGCTGATTAGCTTTTGGTACAGGCAATTACGAAAAATGGTAATTGAGTTTCGATATTTCTTCTCTGAAACAGCTACGCAGCGCGATTGCTTTGCAAAAAGTTCATAATTTTCGAAAAATTTCAAAACACAAAAAATGTGTTTTAGAAGTATTTTTTTTATTTTTCAATAAAATTTAAAGCTTTTTATAAAATGTAATTTTCAGTACGGCATGTTTCAGTAATTTGTCTTAAGGCACAATGCCATGAGTCACTAGTTTAAATTTTTTTTTTTGACGCTATAAGCTTGGAAGTGCACAAATACGTCATTTTAAGAGGGCTCGAGAACTAAAGAACATATTTTTCTTGAACTTTCGGCTTGTTAACGGATCTCTATATTAGCCAAATTGCCAAAATGGATAACATATTACCAATTTGATAATTTACGTTCGGAGAGGGAGGCAAGGCAAATTAATAAATTTTAGATATCATTTATTTCAACCCAAATTCTGCATTGAAATCGTATTATGTTTTGTTAATTATATTTCTTGAAATAAAAAATGTTGTTAAAAAAAGTTGATTATATTGTATAGAATTTTTTTCTCACTGTCCAAATTTTGCCGCCCCCCAAAATTTGCCCTGGGTAGTAGCCCCGATTGCCCCTACTGTAAATCCAGCACTGTATATATATATATATATATATATATTATAGCAAAACCATTTCTTCATAATCTATTATGTAAAATGAACACTTCCAAATACAGATCTGTCCTGAGCTTTTTATCGGATAAAAGATAAAACACCAACGATGCTGTCGCTTAGCGGCGCCTTTGATTTTAACTATTTTGTATTCGGCCGAATATCAAAGAAGACGCCAAATATGCCGAATACTGAATAGTAACCGAATTTTCGGTGCAAGCCAAATAAAAGTCCATTTATTATGTATAAAATATTTAGATTATCAAAATATTGTACTTACGATTCATCTACAGTTTTATTATTATCTATAATCCTATTAGATGCAACATTTGACTTAGGAAGAGTGACTTGATTACACATGGTAACAGAGGGTTTAACCATAGAATTTGTGATACTAGCTGCTTTACTGTTTGACATGACTGCACTGCTTGGAAAACTAGTTCCATTTTGTAAACTATTTCTATAATTGATAAAATGATTTTTAAAACATGAGAAAATTCTATATATTTAAAAAAAAAACTTACGATTCTACATTTGCTGGGATAAACATGGGAGTAATTCTACGTTTGCCATCAGATGTTCTCGTTTCAATCTGTTTGTTTATTGGTTTTGGTGCAGTAGGTGGAGGTTGTGATTTATTGATTATGGTTTCTTGTTCAACACTAACATTTAAACTTTGGTCTTTAATCGATACTTCATTAGATACTATTCTTGTTTCTTCAACACCATTTACTTGATTTGGCACTGGTTTGATGGTTTCATCCAATAAATCACAACTTTCCAGAATTGTGCGATTTCCAGAATCATTTATGTTTTCAGCTGACTGTCCATAAAGTCTTTCATATAATGCATTCTATGAAAATGATAAGAATATAAGAATAAGTAAAAAATAACTTGCTAAAAAACAATGTTAAAAACCTTTTCTGCACTCGTCAACAGTCGACCCATTTCTTCACTTTTAAAATGCAAGCATGCTACACTGCCATCCCAACTACAAGCTAATAAAGACAATCCTACAAGAGATTAACAAATTCATTAATAAATTAAATAAAATTTAAAATAAAGATGAATGATACAATATTTATGGAAAACTTTATAAATCTACTTGATCATTAAATTAATTACAAAAAATACAATTGTACATTCTCTTTAATAACATTTTCACTTTCATTTTCACTTAAAAAACAAGTTGTAATATAGAATTTAATTAACCACTGATCATTTTCTAATAATCACTGAGTATGTTTATCAAAAATAAATTAAGAATTCACCATCAGCACTCCATGAAAGATCCATTACACTCTTTGTGAATAAATCATGTATTGCAAATAATGGTCTGTGATCTGAAGTGCACCAAACAGATAATGCACAATCTCGTGATCCCATAGCAAGACAGCAATATTTGACAGGCCGGGCTCCAGGCCTAGCGCCTCGTTCCATTATATTATTGTTGAATCTCTGTGAGAAAAATTGTGTATTTATTTCCTGTATTGTTAAAACTAGAAAATAACATTAGAATAACAAATTGAAAGCTTCTCATATCACCTGATATATAAAATCAAACCATTATCATACACTTTTTTAGTTTTAATTATTTTTAGAACTCTTTTGTTGAAAAAAAGTTAGAACTAAAGAAGAAATGTAGAAACTTAAAATATTTTCTTTTTATAACTGCATTAATTCTCTATTAAATTTTATCAATATCACAAAAAGTGTGATTGTTAGAGAAAGGTGTGTGTTGAGCTGTATTCAAATATTCACTTACAACACATGTTACAGCTTTTCTGTGGCCAACAAAATCTTTGTCACTGCTCCATCCATCTCGTTCAATTATTTGGGCTGTTGGACCTCTGCCATTCATGGCATGAGCTGAAACCAAGTACTGACCATCTGGTGACCAGGAAAGACGCAAAACATGAGTAGTACCTAAAATATATACATGGATTAAAACATAAAAATAATAAATAAAATTATTATGGTATTTTGAAGTAAATGCAATTAATTTTAAATAAATTATAAAATTAATATAAACAGAATTAAAGTTTGAATATTAACTAATACTTTATAATAATGTATATAAAAGGAAATACCTCCACATTTAGCAAAAGGTTCCGTAATAACAGCTTCTTGCATCCAATCTGACGTACGCCAAACTCTAACACTCTTATCATCAGATTGTGAAGCTAAATATTTACCAACCTAAAATTTAGCATTCATTTATTGAATTATCGAGTTTATTATAAATTTTCAAAATAAATATAAATTATAATATATAACAATCAAATATAATTAATGTAAGTTTCATACTTACAGGGTCCCAAACCACACCTTTCACCATTCCCGTATGCCCACTAAGTTGTTCTTTTACAGTAAAAGTTGTAGTATCCCAAATAATTATTGTATTATCAACACTGCAACTCATTAGCCACCGATCTCCTGGTGACCATGACAAATCCAAAATATCACCTGGAAAAATTGTAAAATGATTTAATTTAATTTATTTATTAATAAAACAAGATTATAACATTCAAAGTCTAAAAATTAAACACTATAACTAACAGAAAACTCAGTAATTAATTCAATTTTTTGAAAAATATTGACCTATTACTTTTACATTTATGCATAATACGAGTCAATTAAAAAAAAAAAAAATTAATTATATAGTAAATATAAGTGAATTTACTAGCTTTAATTACCTTGATGAATTTGTAAAGTAGCTGAACATTTCCAATTTTCCTTATTAACAACCTTGCTACCAAAAACAGTTCCGCCTGTTCCTGCTCCTTTCTTCCATATCTTGATCAGTTTGTCATCTCCCGCTGATGCTAACATTGTTCCACTCCAACTCCATCGTACACAATTTACACAAGCTTTAAAAATATAATTATACATGCAAAATATTATTACATAAATATTTTGCTATGTACTATTAAATTAAAAACAATACAATAAAAATATTTATACAATACTAACAACTTTTTTCTTAAAAAAATTGTTATTGTAAATAAAAAGATATTTGCTATAATTGCCAGATTATTTTTAATATGTAAATATACAAAAAGGAATTCATAATTGAATATAATGTTCACTTGTTATTACCTGAGTGCTGATCTATTAAACATAATATTTTTGGAACATTGGGATCATTTTCAGCATCGAGTGAGACTAAGGGGGCCCAATTCCAGATGACCACTCTTCCAGAATCTCCCCCCTGGCCTCCTGTTGCAAGTTTATTTCCAGAAGGATGAACATCAATTGAAAATATTGGTTTACCTAAAAACAATTAAGTTATAATTCAAAGTTGAGAATTATAATGCGTTTTATATGTACACATGTATCTTTAATATTTTTGTTATTTTAATGATTATGAAAACTAATTGCTTATATAACATAAAAAACATTCCCAGAGAACCATCCTCAAAATCATTTAAAATTATGTGGGGTGCTCTAAAAAAATAAACGTCATTTTCATACAGTTTATGATTAAAAGAAGAATTAAAATAAAATCAAAATGATTTTAATTACTACTTGGTATTATAAGTTAGCAACAATATTGCAAAGAGATTGGTAAAAAAACAATTTGAAAAAATGTATTTAATTGTTGATAAATTATGCATTGCACTTTCTAGTAAATATGATGATAAAATGAATAATTTCTAATAATATTGCAAACATTCTCAGCTATAGTTTATTACATATTGCTATAAGGCAAAAATAGGAATTAATTTTTTTTATAAATTTCTTTGTTAACTCTTGAAACTTGATATAATGATTTTAAATATTAAAATTTAAATTAATTATTTTAAATTTTATTAAATTTTAGTATTATGGCATACTATATCATTAAAATAATCAATGCATTTACAGAAAAAGGCAATATTTGTAGTTAGAAATACGTTGACACCTAGTTAAAAAAGTTAACCTTACATTTTCGTACAAACAAAATTTAATTTTATATTCCTATATAAAAATTGGTATCGCACAAATAATATTTATATTACTACCAAAATATTACCGCAATAAATATAATATAATATTATAAACATTTATTTAACAAATGCAACGCTTACCTTCATGGTGTATCCAACTTGGTTTTATCAGCCTCATTAATTAACTTTTAATAAAGTTAATTTTTATAACAAAGCTACATACACAATCTATAAAAACTAATCGAATTATTAATTTGAAATCAATAATGTTTTAACTGAATTTTCACCATATCACAACTGTAGCTTGTTGGTCATCGTACTTGCAAAAAGGTTGTACCATTATTACCTGAGCGGTATCAAATTTTACAATATTTGTAAGTGCTAACAATTCGCTATAGGTCTATAGTAATAGTAATAGTTGTCGGGTAATTATTAACATACTATAAGAATTCTACATAATGAATCGACGCAAATAACTTGCACGAAAATTTTAAATCAATGTAAAATTTGTGTATCTTAACCAAAATAAATCACTTTAAAAATCATTTTTATTTAATTTATAATACATGCGACAACAAAAATGTTTGGATTTTCATAGGACGTTAACAAAGCGACTTAAGATGGCGTAGAGATAGCTAGCAAAATAATTTAATATATTATCTAAGGTTGGCACCGTTCGCAAGTTGCTAGTTACTTTATCGACATTTACAATTCATATGTCAAAATGTACTAAAAGTATTGTTTACTTTAAAATATATTACTAAAAATTAATTAAACGTGGAGAAATGGGGGTCTACACAATAATATAGAACATTAATGAGTGATTCAGTTTGTTGTTTTTGGCAATCGAATATAATTTTATATATTGAAAACTATTGAAAATTAAAACATATTAGAAAAACAAAACGTTAAAAAATCAGCTTTTATTTTTTAGAAATGTGATTATGGTTTGCAAAAGGAGTTCTTTTATATATTAATAAATAATTATTTACAAGTAACCTGCTTTCGATCGGCTTTGATAATTGTAATAACTCTGGTTAAAAGAGCATAACAATTTATATTGTAGCAAAAATTGCACAAAAGTCAGTAACTCTAATTTCAATAAAGATATTAATTAATTAATTCTTAACCAAATCAGAAATTAAAACAGAAAAGGCATAATAAATAAATAAAATATATACTTTTATTTGCAATGATTCATAAATAATTTATAATTTTACATAAATATTTAATATTTTTATTATAATCATTTATCAAGGCAATTTTTTGAACATGCAAATATATATCTTTCCTTACACATATTTAAAACTATTCAGATCACTAATAACAATTAATATTATAAATTACAACCATTTTATAGTCAATTTGCACTTAGTGCTTACATAAATTAATAACAGATGCACTTAATGCTTATAAAAACTAATATTAAGAGATGCATAAACTCCTTTAAGTTTCTTCTTATACATATTCACTTATGTATTATTTTGTTGTGATGTAAATATAATTTTACTGGCAACGCCAGTTAAGTATTCCTTCACTTAATATTTATTTTCACCTTGTGATAAGCGTTACTTAGTACTCCTCTAAGGTTCCAAATATTTGCAAAACTTTCGGGCTGAACATTATAATTTGAATCAACTGCTTTAGACCACAATTCCATCTATAAAGTCAAATTAAAAATATTCGAATTTATAATAATCATTACTTTCTAGTTCATCATAAAATACCATTTCAAAACATAGTTTTTTAATTCCTATTTTATTAATTATTAAATTTTATTACTTTAAATTTATGATACCAATTAATAAAAATAGTAATGCATTTATAATAAGAATAATAAAGTATTTATTCAACCTTATTTAAGAAAATATATTTTTTTAAATAAGGTTGAAAAAATACTTTCTTTATTATTATAATAATATTGTTCTTACATGAAACAACATGACTTTATACAGTTAATATTGTAGTAATAAATCTGAACATTGTAAAAATTAATTCACTAAATACCTCTTTCACACCCTTTTGAACAGGTACTTCAGCAGTCCACAAAGTCCAACCGTAGTGTCGTGATGAAGGTTCTTTACCTTGCTCCAGTTTCGCTGTCGTCCATGTTAAACCTTGATCACCTGTTACATCTACTCGCACAATCCTTTGGCCACCTCCAGACCAAGCATATCCTAGTTAAAATATTTTTCATTATAAAAAATACTTATTACTGATTTATATTAAAAGTCAAAATAGTAATAAATTTGAGAAAATGAAATAGTATATTCTGAAGTACACTAATATATTATATTATTTATAATTAAAAAGTATACCATGATAACAAATCTGATTCAAAACTTCTTAAAAAAAAATTTTTTTAACTATTCCTTATTTTGTACCTTTAACTTTGATAAATCCATTTTCAGGTTTGACTTTTTCATTCTCCTGGGGTAGGCATATGGCAGATGTTACTGGCATTGCCTGTATAGCAGGTGACTTAGTAAAATCAACTGTATCCCAATCCGTGCTTGGACTAAAACCTTTATAATCGTTTTGTTGCCAATGGGAATCACTCTCCTCTGAGGATATGACTATTGATCCTAAATAAAAATATATCATAGTATAAAGTAACTGATAATCAATAGTAAGGAAAGAGTGCTCAATCTAGAAATAATTGGTAAAATGGAGTTAAAAGTATGTGATAACACTTATTTGCCTAGACTACACACTCAATTTAAAAAAATGGTTATTAAAAAAATTAGAATGTTTAATTTAAATGTTTTCAATTTAATAAAATAGTAATATTTATACCTAACCACTTAACATTCCTAGCACCAATTACTCCTGGTATAATAACCCTCAAGGGAAAACCATGATCTCTATTCAGAGGTTTTCCATTCATTTCATATGCAAGCAGCACATCATTTCGTGGATTCATTACATGCGATAATGGCACTGAAGCACCATAAGTTGTATTTGTAGGATCAGCATCTAATCCTATGAACTAATAAAAATAAACAACCAGTAAATAAGGATTCAAGAAAATCAATCAACTATTAAATTTGGATTTAAATTAAAGTATAAAGGCATATTTTTGCAAAATTCTATATTTTCTTAAATTATATCAATAATGTGAAATGTTCTTTTTCACATAGGTTTTCAAATATAGAAAAACATCATTGGATATATTAATATAAACATATTTTTATTACGCTGATACATTAAAGCATTGCTCCTAAAATACTAAAATTGCAACTTTCGAGTTGTTTATTTACTTTTTCACCAATTATCGAAAGGAATGGAATTTTAAAGAAATACAAAAAATGTTTATGTTTTCATTTGTTAAAAGGTTAATATTTATTAAAGAAAAAGTTTATAAATTATTAAAGTTTATAAGTTATTAAAGAAAAGTTTGGAACCATATGAAAAATGCTACTCAAATCACAAAATTCCAATGCAAACAATATAAAATTATAATGCAAACAAATTATAAAATTTTGATCATCATTGGATTAAACGACAAAACAACATATATTATTTTTATAGGCGTAGTCATACATTTATCTATGGAATGATGAAATAGATATTGGGTAAAAAAAGACAAGAAAATTTCATTAAAATACTGTTGAGGCCCTATAATAAGATTATTGTAAAAATATTACTTTTATAGGTGTAGTCATACATTTATCTATGGAATGATGAAATAGATATTGGGTAAAAAAAGACAAGAAAATTTCATTAAAATACTGTTGAGGCCCTATAATAAGATTATTGTAATAAGAGGTCTTGAAAAATATTACTTTTATAGGTGTAGTCATACATTTATCTATATGGAATGATGAAATAGATATTGGGTAAAAAAAGACAAGAAAATTTCATTAAAATACTGTTGAGGCCCTATAATAAGATTATTGTAATAAGAGGTCTTAAAAGGTCTTAGAACCTAGTGTTACTTTACAGACATCATCATATATTAAAAAAATTGACTTACCTGCACATGACTTTCTTCATCTGATTTAATACCCATGGATTCCAAAACATCAACTAATCGGGCTCCAGACCATGTGGCATTACCAACAGCTGCTGCACCCCAAGTCAAACCTCGAACATCTTTAACCTTTATTTGGAAAAATTAATAATTCGAAATATTAGAAACAGAATCTGATTTGCTAATTTTATTTTTTTCGATCTTTTGAGTCATTCTGAATCATTTGGCACCAAAATTAGAAACTGTGTGGCAATGTATTTGTGAGAAAATTACGGAAAGAAAAAATAAATAAAACTTCGCTTTCGTCGACGTTCTCTTAAAAACGGTTGCATTTTAAAGCCATTTCATGAGGCTGATAAAGACTTGCGTTGACTAGCTTAGCGATCTTGATTTTGAAAAATTTAAAAACCATTCGAAAGGTCGGTAATCGTGCTGATTAGCTTCTGGTAAAGATCGACAAACGGAAGTTAAGGTGCTCCTCACTTAATGAACGAAGGCGAATCATTCCAAACCAACTTGAACAA